AGTAGGTCACTCGTGAGACCGTCGAGGTCTCGCGATCTCCAATCGACCCTGGATCTGCTCAATTCGATAAATCAGTCCGCTAGTACCTTGCGCTATGTAAATCTTTACGAGATGCCCGGAGACGAGAAATCTAGTCGCCAGTCGCGACAAGTAATAAAAGCAGAAAAATGAGCGATTACGTGAGTTATATAACAAGTGGTCCAAATATAAATCATCGATCCGCGAAAAGCTACATTAATGCCACATTGCATAATTGCACGTACGCGTAAATTCGTATTTAATTTTTTTCGTGACGTGTCTCGACGACAGAAAACACACAAGTAAAAATGTTTTCTATTTTTGGCGAAGCGAATGAGTGATTCAATCGGATGTTCACAAAGTTGCCGCGCGAATCAAATGAAGATTTGATGAGCCTCTGATGAAGATTTTCGAGTCACGCGTTGTGCAGCGTGAATATTGAATGTGCAAAAGCGTCATAGAAAGGGAAAAGTTCAAAGGGGTTGAAAACGCGGCGGAACCTAAGTGGCTGATTGATCTACCGTAACGGTGACTTTTAACGCTCACAGTCGCACAAGTGTCAGAAGGACTTTTAGATGGCTAAATAAAGGATCGCTCGTTCTCTCCGCTTAAAGCCGATTATGCCAGCCTTGAACAGAAAGCTGCTGAATCTAATTTTCGTTCCATATTCGTATTAAAATTATGATGAAGGATTTATAATTTCATTAGTATATAAATGATACAACGAGAAGCGATCTCATCCCTCAACGTATTGTTCGTGCAACATATAATTAGTGAAATAAATCACGCGTCAGTTCGAATCGACTGTAAACACGCGAGCGCGATTCTTGTGAGTGACAGCACGTCTATTGCCTCTGTCGACAAATAGGAATGACAGATCGCCGTCCATTGTTCCGCAAGATTAAGTAACTTCGAGATAAGAGACGTTTGATGGTAAAGCTCATCATCAAACGAAACGGAAAGAGAATTCTAAGCGCGGTAATTGTCGACTTTTAATAGCTTCATACACGAAAAGGGAAGCTTCTGTGCCAGGTTCTCGGTGTCGCATATTGTCGATTTCGGTTTCTGTTGTGTGTTCGTGTTGTCTGCGTGCGCATTTTCGAGTATTTGCCAAACGAATCTCTCGTCGAATCTGTCCTTGACACATGGTATTCGAACGCGACCAATCGAAAAACACAAATTTACAATTTATCCGCAAATAAAATCGCCTGTATCGATTTATAATTTAGATATCCTTAGATCTGACAAAATTGTAATTTAACATCATTATTGACAACAGGAAATGTGATGAATATTTAAGTCTAAGAAATATTTCTAACTTGAACTTTAATAATATCATTTCAGGGTGTTTTTGATCGATTGCTTGTATGTACAAAAGACAGAACATATAAAGCATGGGAGGCTTTTATATCGGAGTCGACATTTATACGAAGAAAAACGTTCTTTTCTGCATCTAAAGGTCAAAGAGGTATAACTTTGCTTCAAACTTTTACAAATTCCATCAAGTTCGCAGACCTTATTATAGCAGGAAAAAAGTTAAGTATATCCGTCGGGACCTTAGGTAGAGAGTGCGCGGATCTAAGTTGGATAGCGGAGGCTTGAAAAACCGGCCGTTTACATCGAGGGGGAGGAGAATCGAACTGGAATTTGGCACTGATTCGGTAAAAAGACTCAATTTCCGAAAAGTTCCGGCATCGATTTACTTCTCCGAATTGTTTAACTTTTTGCGACGCGGCAACGATGCAATTTGCGATGGGAAACGGATCAACCCTGCGACGTCGTATTCGATTATCGTTCGAGAGGACAGGTGAAGAGTATCGAGCACATGTGGAACGCGATCACAAGAGTCATTAGGTCGCGACAAAGAGTGATATAAAGAAGGAAAAAAAAAAGGTAAACGCGCCGGGGGGAGGATAGACAACCGCTGCTGTAGAGGAGACGTCAGATTAGAAGCCACGACACACTTGACTGGCACACATACATATTTTTTATTACATAAATTAGCGCACGAAGGTCTTCTCTCTGGAGGGAAGTTATCGCGTTAATGCCTATTACCACACACCCTTCTTCGTGCCCGTCGTGGCCGAGTTTGTCAGTAATTTCGCCGCATGAACTTTCTCTGTAAATGTTGAATCGCGCGGAAAGAAATTGAATGAGCTTGAACATTGATTGCTATCGTTGACACAAAAAATGATCTTTGGTGAACACGATATAATCGAGGGGAATTCTTTCAGAAATTTATATTCTTGCACGTAAGGAAAAGCTTTTCTTGAGCTAAAATATGTTGAAGCCTTTGAAATTTTCGATATAAAATGTTACGACAACTATAATATTTAATTCGTATTTCATAGAATCGTTACTTTAATATTTAAAGATTAATATTCGCGATAGGATACATAAATAATATTGTATAGTGCACAGCAAAGGGCTCAATATTTGTGCATTGCCACAGAAAAAATTGCGAACACCGAAAATAAATTTAATCTTGTTAAGAGAAAATTGCCTGTCGCGATATTGTAAAAGCTGTTGAACCAATATTGATACTGGAAATCTAATACATGAAATCGTTATTCAATCATATTACGAGCTTCACTTTTCCATCATATGCCAATAAACTTGACACCGTTGCTCGGTATAGTCTCATCGCTCAAGAGAATTGCAGTCATTTATTTAACGATTAAGGGAGACTAATGTCGCATTCGCTATACTTGCCGTGACATTACTTGGCGTGTAGCGACATTTATTAAATTACGTGGAGCCAAGAATTCTTTTCAATGCGACGAAAGCGATTTTTGTTCATTGCCGGCGTACTAACTTTTTTATTAAAAATAAAAAGAAAATGTGTTCTAGAAACGGAAAAACACCGGTATTTCGAAATTATCCAATTACATTACGAATCTCGACTTTACTTTTTTTTGTTCCGAGAGATACGCAATCAGTATCTGTAATAACTTTGTCCAAAAAATAAATATCTTTAATAAATATTCTTAATAATTTGATTGTTGGAATAATTAAAACAACAAAACATCCGGACAATTAATAACATTATAAAATTTACACATTTTAACACAATTGCATATGTATTTTTTCTGTTTCTATATTTTTCTTTTTCTTTTTTCTCCACGAAATGAGTTGTCTCCGCAGAGATAAAAAATACGGAAATAGAAGCAAAGCCTTACTCAGCACATAAATTCTAATTCCCTATTCAAAGAATTCTCGAGCCTTTCTGACCGATTTAATTCCAGTTAACCAGTTTGAGAGAATGCAAGCTGCAGAATTGCATTTACAATTTATATATTTCGCAAATGTTCTTTAATATGTTATCGTTAAATATGTTATTTTAGGAAAACGATTTATACAGAAATAATATTAAAGTGTGTACGAAAACAAAATTTCTACTTCAACTCTACTTCACTTGATATCTACAACGTTCCATATTTAAGTGGAAACGCAGATTTCTTTGCAAACTCAAAGAGTTTCGATATTAACTACGCGCAAACGCATATATTAGCATTTAGTTATGACAATGAATTTCATTGTGTGGTATATCGCGTATTTCTCAGCTGTACGATAATATCGCGTCATAAATATGAAATAATTTCACAACAATTCAATCAGTTAACCTTGAACTATAATATCGGAAGAATATTTATTATGTATGTGTCGTATTTCGATATCGCAAGACATGTATCATATTAACAATATAAATTTTGAATCTGTTTGTCTAGACACATTCGGTTTATATAATTTTCTGTGTAAAAAGGTAGCTATTTGTGATTTGGTTATCAGTAAAAAAATCATGAAATACCTCACGTTTCTCACTACGACATAACGTATACGCGCATCTTTATACTTTAGTGTTGTATATATATATTAAGGTGTATATACAGAATATCCTTATCTAAACGAGGAATCCTTTCAAGGACTATTCTTGTCAGTAAATCGCGACTATGCAAAAGAAATCGTTGCTTGTCTCCATCAATCCTCTATCTCTCTTCCCTTCTCGCAATCAATTCGATTTCCCTCTTCTCGCGCCTATTCCTCGTCTCGCAAAGACTTGAAGCATTTCTGGAGTGATATTGCCAGTGACATGCATTGTCCCATTGTGACATAGAGCTACCCCTTTCCTCCATTTAATCGAGCCCTCCCACATTCATTTCGTATAGTCGGCATGTTTTACATAATATTGAAAATGAACCTCGATGCCCGCACATTCGACATATTTCAACCGAGGTATTCCTTAGTATTTTGATTATATTTTCGCGTCTGTCGGAAGAGACGAGCGTTCCATTTTTAGTTTTGACCTTTAAAATGGAAAAGGAGCAAAAGGGGTAAATCGCGCGAGCGACATTTCCGTGTAAACGAACGCGCGTTAAAATAATTAACGTAGAAAAATATTTTGAGTTTTTCAAATTGATGTAAAATACGTTCATATTTAATTTTTACGTCTTGTATATAATATTATCGTAGCGATCTTGAATACTAATTCACGCAGCACGATCATAAAAACATTGAATATATATAATATTATGAAAATTTATGATAATCGAGCGAGAAAAATAATATTCCGCATATTCCCGCTAATACATTCATTAAAAACTTAACTCTCTTTTTGTCGGGTGAATGTTTACTACGTTGCACCGTTAAGTTAGTAAAATTGTTGAATTAATCGACACAAATAGAAACGTCATTATCATAATTCGTATAATCGATACAACGTTATGCAACGGTATCGATGTCGCCGAAACGAAACGCGATTCGCGGACTGCCTTGTGTCGCATTGCGTGAAATTTTCGTTCTCTCTTTTTACGCGAATAAAACTGCCCGCGGAAAATGATCGTCGCGGATACTATTATTTGATTATTTTCCACGGTAATTTTAGAGAAATAAATATCGCGATTTTAGAAAAAAATCCATCGTTGATTACTTCAATGAAATTTATGGAGCACGCGATCGCGGCCGCGCGATTGGCCTCGACTTACCGTGCGTATCGAACTTTCTGATGATGGTCTCGATGATCGTAGTTCTGGGCGCCACGTGACCTCGTCTAACAGGCATCTCAGGAAGAGGATTTTCAGGTATCTGGACAGCCGAGAGACCTCCGCGTTTGACCGTTTAGGGCGCAACGGGCCCTATCTCTAGTGTATCGATAATACTAAAACACTAGGAAAAAACACTCGCGGCGTACAATGCACGAGCACGATAGAAAAAAGCACAACACGAGTTGAGCATAGTGATCAGCCGTAAGATAGCGTAACGTAACGACTTGAGACTCAACGGAGGGAGGGGAAAGAAAGATCTTTCGTTGCTGTAGTCGGACGACGATCGCGGTGTAAATCAGCGATGCATTCGTCTGCTTTCCTCTGGCTTCTTAGCGGATACGAAGAGGCCGAAGAGCGAAGCTAAACGAGAAAGAGGTCGTGGTCTCCGAAGCGGATGCTCTTGTCTCGTGTCTATTCGTTCGCCAGGAGGGCGCCGAGATGTATGGTCGTTGTTCTTGGTCTTGGTCTTGGCGATATCGATGTGTCGCGATTGAGACTGTCGCGAAGAGCGAGAAAGGCTCGAAGCCACGTTGATTTGGACCCGGAGTTCTCGTCTCTATCTAGGTATACGTCTAAGATCGTCGGCCTGGAGCGTCACGACGATACGACCTTCTGCCGTCGATCCGCGGGGAAGGTCGGTACCACCTTGTCGAACGGCCGACATACGTGTCGCACGTGTACGCGTTGTCACTCCGATAACGCGTGTGCTTCAAGAGACGGGATCCACGCGAGAAGACATCTATTTATAGCGGGAATCTTCGTCGGAATCTTTCTCGCGGGGGCGGCGTTTTCGTGATTTCCACCGAGGAACTGGTGGTTGGCCTCCACCTGGATCGTCACGTAATCGTCGTCGGCGATTTGGAGAGAGCTACGACGACGACGATACCTCCGTCGCTCGCCGGCAACGTCCGTCCTCGACGCGATACTCGGTCCTCTCTCGTCGATGGGCTCTCATATCGCTTACAGCTGACACGCGCGTCGAATCCTCGTGAGTCTCAATTTGCGATCGAGCGACCCGATATAGCCGAAAAATATTGACGCGACGGCGTCGCGATGCGGTGGGTCAACAACCTCGTGGCTTCGATCCTCGGGAGGTTCGCGTTCCTGACAGGCACTCCTCGGCGGTACTCGCGGATCTTGCTGGACTCGACGGGATCCAAGTCAGACTTTACGAGAGTCGAGATCGCGGAACGTTGACGTCTCGGTGAGGCGCATGACTCGGAGGACATCTCCACGACGTCGTTTGTTGGATCGCTCGTGTGCGAACGAAAGGAAAACAATTCGTCGGAAATGGCACGATTTCGACGCGATGAGTCGACGGCCGGGCGAGTGGGGGTGGGCGTCGCGACGCCCAGGATAGCGGAGCTGTTCACGACGACGGTGAAGGCACGTGGTGTGTTTGCAGTCGGAGCGTTTACACGAAACACCGCGATCGGATCGATTCTTCGTCCGGTCGTCCCGACGCGAGTCGCGGCATGTCGCCGATGCTGATCGAACGTCGAGGCTCTCGCTCCCTCTCTCCTTCTCTTCCTCTCGCTTTCTGTTTTTCTCTCTCTCTATCTCTCTCTCTCTCTCACGCGTTCTCTCGCTCACTGACGCGGCTGGTCAGCTGTGCATCTCCACTGGTCAACCACGGGGACAGCTATTTTTGTATTTCTTCCTCATCCTCCGCGACCATGCCCGACTACCGCCTTTGTCGCGGTCTGCTCTCTCGGGGTATCCCTCGGCTCGCGTAGCCACGCCGAATTGCGTAAAAAATCCGCCGCATGCGACACTTCTCGCGAGCAGTCGACGAGATCAGATCGTTGGGGGAGACGTCGTTGAGAGATTGACCGAGATTTTCGGATGATGCATAATAACTAGCGAAAATACCGTCCTTCAAACTCTGTCTCTTCTCTTTCTCTCTCTTCCGTCTCTCCTTCGTCTGTACTCGATGTTATCGCTAATCTATCTTACTCGATTAGATATCTATCTCTGGATTCGTCGGCACATGTCGCGATTGATTTCACTATCAAGCCCATGTCTCACGTGTTTACGGAAGCGCGTTATCTCCGTGCGCTGTCACAAATCACGCAAACGTGACCCACCACGCCTTCGCAGAGATACGATGCCCTCTCGCTGACCTCGCGACCCTCTCGGGATCCTCGTACCGTTGGTGGAGACACCTGACTCGCCCCCTATCACCGTCTACGGCCGGCGCACTCCAGAGGAAGGTCGCCGAACACTGTTGCTCCGCCGCGTGCTTGTAATCTCTCTCCACCCCGTCGCGATGCGTCACACACGCGGGGGTGTCTCTCGAGGTGTCTCTTCGAGAACGCGACTTGGAGTGGCCGATGACGACGTCGAGCGACAACGCGATACCCTCGTCGCTTTTACCCGAGTCCCGCGGTTTGGCGAGTCGCCGTCGTGTGTTCGGTCGGAGAACTGATTCGCGCGAGAGAAGGCGCGAGACGGGTCGACGTCTCTTTTTCTCTCCGTCTCTCTCTCGACGATGACGACGGCGGCGGCGGCGACGACGACGACGACGACGCCGTCGACGTCGGCACGTAACAAAGGAGGAAAGAGGGGGGGCGTCGCGCACGGCGCCTGCGTCGCGGATACACATCCCCACCCAGGTTCACCCACCGCGATCGCACACTGCTGCCTTCCCATCCCCTTGTTCCGTTCCGTCCGCAATCTTCCCCGCCGCACCGGCCCCATCGTTCGCTGATAATATTGATAAGGGGGTTCCGCGCCGACCGCTCTCTTCGTTCGGCGCCCTTCTGTCTTCCGTCAACGGGGGTGTCGAGCTTTGGGGTCGAACGACGTACGCGTCAATCCACGAGGACGTAATGACATAACGCGTCGTGTATATTCCCCGGGTTTTACTTCCAGGTTTTATTCCATCGTAACGCGAAAAGTACTTTGCGTTTTAAATTTAAACAAAGACGTTTTATATTTTCCAAACGACAAACTTATTCACACTGAAGCACTGAATATTGCAGCGACATTGCAATATTGCCGCAATATTGCTGCAATGTTCTGTGCGGTATCAATTAATTTCGAGCAAAGGTATGATTAAACGTTTATTTTTGTCGAGCAGTTTTTGAATTATCGACCAACAATTTACGGACGAATAAAAATTTTGTAAAATATATAAAATATATAACGTTGTTTGTTTATAAAAGACTCACAATTTTGTCACCTTGCATTTTTGTTAGATTAATTCGCGAAAAGATTTTCTTTATAACTCGAAAAGTGTATTGCTATTTCATGGTCGTTAAAAGAAAATTAATTACTTTGATTGTTGAGAGTGTACGAAAGAGTGTACTTTATTTCCTGCGGAAAGAGATGCTATGTTGATGAACGCGACATTATATAACGATCGCTTTTTTTATTCCATATGATTGTACTATATCAGATCGTATTCAACAAAAAATAAAATAGACATTTTACTCGCGATATGATGTATAGCATTATGTAAATACAAGCCATTAAAGAGAGAAATTTTTTATCTATGCAAAAAAAATGTGTATATATCTGTGCTTTTATAAGATTATTATAAAGCTAATAAAAATACAGCGTGACACATTTATTGTATATAATTAAAAATATCTAATTATTTTTTTAGTATTAATTTGCATATTGCGTGATACGCACAAGTGCGTGTCTGTCAGTTTCGTGAGAAAATGGAATGGATTTGCGAATCGATATCAATGTCGTATTGTAGGGTCACTTTGCAAACGCACTCTGTCGATAAATTTCAACTTATCGTGGAATAGTCAGTAAGAAAGTCGCGGATAAAGGAGAGAAAAAAGACGACTATTATATACCTAGAACGGATAAAAAGAATGTGACATTACTAGCGAGGCGGATGAGAGAAATATTTTATCCGCTGCGATAAATTTTCCCTCCATCAACAATTTCGTTTTGTTCTTTGCGCGTTTTTGGCACGTACTATCTCACAACAAATGAATTCAGACAAGCTCGGCTCGTATTTACATTCGATAAAAAAAACATGTTTACGTTCGCACGCAACGTTTAGCGGTACCGTTCTAGACACTGATAAAAAATACGCGCAAAATATTTACCTTTCTCACAGGATGGATTATTCGGATTATAATATTTCGTAATCAAGATGTAGCCTATTTTGAATAAATATCGATCACAATCAACGCGTCACTTACGATTTTTCTCAAATTTAAGCTCGAAAATTTAAGCTTGACTTAAGGTTTATAGAGGCCGTAACTGTTAACTTATGCCGGAACCGGTAAAGTTCAATATTGGAATTTCAATGCTTTTGTTCATGCTGAAAGTAGGAGCACCGCTAAGGATGGTCTGGATAAATCCAGACCTGACAATCATAAACGAATAATGACAAGACAACGGACAATATCTCGAGATCGGTTAAATGACATTTCAATGTTAAATATTTATCATGAGATGACTGATATAGATACTGAAGAGGTATTAAATGAATTTATAAAGAAACATAACATTGGAATGCACGCATTTGCTGTGATATAAAAGATAAATTAATATATTGTGTCATTTTCTTTGAACCATGGTTATTTATTTAAACTTTTCTTATATGAATTAAAAAATTTTTTTTCAAAAATCAAATCCTCCTTCCCGATTGATTGTTATCCAGGAGCGAGACAGTGCCGCCCCTGGCTGAAAGCATTACATATTTAAATTCATGCTTTCAGCATGAACAAAAGCATTGAAATGCCAATATTAAACTTTACCGGTTTCGGCACAAGTTAACAACTACGGCCTCTATAAATCAGCCTTAACTCTCTGTCATCGCGTCAACGTCAAAAGTGAAAGCGTCCATTCGCGCGAATAAATCTGTCGGGCGTAACATCAACGCGGCATTAAAAAAATGGGCAAAAATACGAAAGGAAAAAATACGCGCGGAAAAGTTCAAACTTGATCCGCCATTACGCGAACCGCCAAGCGTACGCGCGATATAATATTCGCTCTTACCTGGCAATCCGCCGATGTCTCAGCGACCATCCGGGCACTCCTCTCGTTCCTCGCGTCGTCGACTTCACACGGGACACCATTTCACCGGAATTTCCGTCGCGACACTCGCGTAAGACACGGAAAATCGGAGGGAACCGCGCGACATCGCCGCTCGTCGCCGGGTCTTTGAAAAATGGCAGCGTCGTGGCGCCGAGTGACACTCGGCCGCGCTCGGCCGCGCTCGGCAGTCTTCGGTCGCGCTCGGTCGCGCTCGGCCCTCGTCGGCGGCCGGCGCTGCGGCTCGCGGCCGCACGGGGTTCACGAGAGTCGATTCACGGAGCCCCGCCCTGCCTGCCGCCCGCCAGAGCCGTGAAGGTGCAGCAGCCGCAGCAGCATCAGCTCTGCCAGTTTCGTTCGCGTCGAGTTTTTGCCGAGTGTCGTCGAATGAAAACAATCGCCGACGTCCGTACGTCGCGCATCCCGAGACGTTGACGTCGCACGCAACGTGCGCCCCGTCTCTCTCTCTCGTCGTCGCGGCAACGTCCACGTCGCTCGTCGGTCATCGTCGTCGTCGTCGAGAGATCCGTCGCGACAGTTAACCTTAAAGAAAGCGGCGGGTGCGGTGATAGTGTTTTCCCCTCCGAGGAGGATAGCCGGGTAAACTCGGCGAGTCGAGACGGAAAGGTGTGCGACGAGGAAAGTGCGTAGTCATCGATGTGAGAGCCGAGGACGGCGAGGGAAGAGCAGAGGGAGCGAGTGCGAAAGCGAGGGGAAAGAGAGAGGCCCAGGAGCATCGAGCCGGGAATTCCGACGACCGCAGGCTCCGTCAGGGAGCTCCAGGTATGTGACGTTGCGATATCTGACATTCCGGGCGTCTCTCGCGACTTCCGGATGCGTCGCCTCGAGCCCGCCCGGCCGCCCTTCGCGCGACTCGATAACCGCCATCATGGCGGTCGTCTAGGCCTACGGCTCCGTGTCAAAAATCTTGCCGTTCTCGCCGGGACACGCCGACGTATTTCGGTCGCGTGGCCGGCGACTTTCTCGCGCGAGGACGACTCGCTTGACCTTGCGTCGTGGAAACGAGCGCTTCTTCTCGTTTTCTTTTTTATCTTTTTTTTTTTCTTCGACATCGACTCGCTCGCGTAGATGACTTTCTCGTTCCTCGATATCGTACGATACTTCACCATCCTCGATCGCGAGACGATGCGTCTTTAACGTCGCTTTCTATTCGCGAGTGTTGGTCGGCGTGATTTGACGTCGGATTAGCTCGAGCGAGGATGACGGAAATAGATCGAGCGTCGCGATTACGGGGTATATTATCGATGGGATCATTGATTGGGCTTCCACGAGATATTTGTACGTGGCTCGCGATACGGTTTGAAGAAAAAAGTCAAGGTGTCGGCTCGAGACCGATGACGTCCGATGACGAATTTTTTTTTCTGTTCAGATTTAATACATCATAATCGGCGAGAATATCGATTATATTGTCGATTTATACCTTGCTCGTATTATTTGTTCGTAAGATTATTTGAATCGTTTTCACAGAGATATCATTAAACTGATTTTTGTGACAGGATATTGTCGCATGAATTATTCAAAGTTTTAGATACAAGATTGTCTAATTTTATTTAAATCGGATCGCATTGAAGTACGCATTGAAGTTTGATGTACATGAAAATATTCGTCACGTATTGGAAAGAAGAATCGCGTTGTACGTGCGATCGAGTCGCGCGAATGTCGACGGTCCCGTCTTGAGGAATGTTGCGTGTCACGTCGTCCGGAGGCATCCGGGCACGCACCGGTTCTCCTTCGGCGAAACGATACCTCTGACGTTTGTTTGACGACGACTCGGATTATCTTACGGTGCATAATACGTAACACAAGTCGCTTTGCACGATATGCGCGAAAGCAAAGTTTGCGCTTCCTAGTAAGCGAGATAAATTTTCGCGCGTTGTAAAAAGGGCAGAAAAATTTGGCAAAAAGAATTCGCGAGAGATGCCTGAGTAGAAAACATTGCAAATTTGATAATCTTACATATTATTCAAATATTCTTCGATTCAGTAGAATTCGATATGATAACTGATAGAACCAATTATTTATTTATTAAATTAACAAAATTATTATTTATTACATTATAATTGTAAAATTATATTAAATTATTAAATTATACTTTTTAAGATTAATGGTTTTCAATGGATTAATGTGTATCAAATGATAATCACATATTAAAAATATTATTATAAAAGTAGTCAGAAAGAGAGAGGGAGAGGGGAAAAATCTTGAATAATTTTGCAAAATTCGTTAGAAATCAGAATAATGAAAAATAATGCAATTAATCGAACTTTCCTTTTCTTCTACTGAGATTATAACCGATAATTTCTACTGTGCCTTTTGCGAAGTATTGATTCCGAGAACGGAAAGTGTGATGCAATCCAAAGTCTGTGAATTTTCTTATATAACAGCTGGTGTTTTCAGCTTGATTTCTGTCAGCATTAAATATACATATGTTGGATCCACATTTCTCGTCGAGGCAATCGATATCTTTTGCACGAGCGATTTTATCGATTAAAAACATACTTTACATCATATCACATTTCAATAATCAATCTTAATGTTTACGTGTAATTTTATTTATTATAATGTTTGAACAAGTTTCCTTCAAAGTACATTATTTGATTGTCTCTTTGGTAGCACGAAAATTTAACGGAAAGCATATCCTTCCATCAATTCCGCAAAAATTAGCTTCTTCGAATAATTTTCCTTTCGAATAATTTTTTCTTCCTCCTTATTATCGGACTTAATGGTTATCACGCTTACTCCATCTGAGTCATGCATGAGCAATAACTTGACATGCAATTCGCGTTTCTTACGAGAGCTATCTTCGGCATTCTTTGAACGGCAGGCCTCAGGTTAATGGTCGCAATATGCCAAGTCGAAAATAACAAATGGAAAGACGGACAGAGCGACAATAGACAAGGATCGAGTGTCAACGAGCATTTGCAGGTGTCACGGGATTACCAGGGCTTAAGCTTTGACGCGACAGACGCGAAGGAACGTCAGCCGACGTCCGATCTTGGCGGATAAATAGGGGAAAAAAAATTTCTCGCGACTCGCGTTACGTTCCGTCTCGCCGATTGGCCGACCAATTGGCGGCCGCAGCTGCCTTAATCGGCTTTAATTGCTCCGGAATATAAAGTTGTCGCGCGCGCGCTGGAGACAAGTGGCGTCTTGAGTTCAATTGACAGCATTCCACTCGAGACGATGTGCGTTATCGATACTATCGATTATGTGAATCAATCTAGGCGTAGGGTCAATTGCCGTGATAAATCGCTCGCATTTCACGAGATCGCGATAAGGAAAATATCCGCAGATGTTTCGTTGCATATTGACGTCTCATCTTATTATAGTACATTTTTATAACTTTGAATTTATTCATAGAATCTCGTAGATTATTTATTATAAAATATAAATTTTATAAATTATTCTATACATTGTTTTATTATTTTAAAATACTTTTTTTTTATAGCGCCGTAATGAATTTTTAATAAGTCTGCATTTACTCTTTATTTGTTTTACTCGGTTTGTTTTATCGACGTTTTACACTCCGAAAATTTATTTTAAGAAATTGAATTATTAATCTCTTCTGGATCTATATATTTTAAAAAGATACCAGCAGTTTTAATTTTAATTTGCATAGTGAGTACTAATTTGCTGCGCAAATTAAAATTAATGTTAGTATCTTTATAAAATATAGATCCAGGAGAGATTAATAATTCAATTTCTTAAAATAAATTTCGCGTGTGCAAGGTGTCGGGGTGCAATCCAAGATAAAAAATGAAATGCAGAGCTATTAAAAATTCACCATTGCGTCACTATAAAAAGTACGTCAAACTAAATTTTATAAAATAATTTGTATTTTTTATAAAATTTATATTTCATAAAATAATTCACGATTCTATGAATAGTAAATTAAATCCATCCGAAACTGCTGTTACTCTTCTCGTGCGTGATTTTGTATAATTTTATCACGACAGATAACGTCACGTGCGTCATTGCGGTGGCGATGGCGATGAGTTTTGTGCAGATGTGTCTCTTCTGGTAGGAAACTCGTCGAGGAGCTTCTTAAATGACGATTGCGGTTTACAGGACGGTTAGTAGGTCGTGCTACTTACAATTAAATGATGCGAAAAGGTCAACGTGTTCGAGCTGGATGCTGAATCTCATTGTTAAATCCTTTTTCGATCCTTAGCACCTCTCCTTTTTCCCCCTTATTCTCGTGTTCCTCTCTCTTCTACGTCACCGAAATATTGTCTCTTTTGGAGACGATAGTAATTCCGAGTAGGACGAGAGGGAAAGTGATAAATCAGTAGCAACATGACAAAAAAAATTAGCTTCTTAATTCAATAATTGCTTTTGTCAATTTTTTTTTGCATTAAAGATTTAAATGAAAGTACAGATTGAATAATTTTTCACGTTCTCCGACAATTTATTATGTTGCTAAATTTAATAATGTCAAATTTTTACACGGTAATTATTATATACATGTTTCACGTGATTATATAAATCGTAAAACTGGAACACCGTTAAGACGCTTGGAAAAAAAAATGTCATAGATGCACTTTATGCGGTAAGCGATTTTTCTTGGTGCGGCTAATGACGTCACGCGACTGCATTAAACTAGGACAGAGAGAGAGACTAAGTAAGAACCTCAACACAAAGTTTCGCAGTGTATTCAATTATGATAAAAAAGAAAAGAAGGAAAAATCATCGGAATCCGTCGAATTTAGTCCTTCGCAAATTTCTATAAATTCATCCGACGAGTCGTTTGTTTCTGCCGATTGGTCGGAATCTGCTCGTCGCGAAAGTCAAACTTTCCTCTCGTGACACTATTTTCATTCATAAAGTAGCACCGGCGATTCCATTTTATAGCGCAGAACCACGATCGCGAGCATTAAATGCCGTTCATTGATGTCGAGGCTGTACGATCAATATTATACGCCAGGTGTATTGAATGTAATGTGATTTGCACGGTCCAGTTGTAGCTTCAACATCCGACCAATCGGGACGCGCATTTATCCTTGTATCGTGTATGCGCGACATTTTTAATATAATCAAATTTTTTTTATCGTCCGCGAGTTAACCGCTCTCGCTTGACGCCCACGCGACGATAGGTTTAAAAAAAAAAAGAAAAGAAAAAAGCCGAGCATCCTGTTAGATATTGCATTAGGTCCTAATATAGAAACGAGGACGTCTCCCTCGGCATCTGGAAATTAACGGGCAACCGACGGCGCCACGCCGCCTGCTCCAGGTTACTCTCTGACGTCACGACTCACCTTCTGACGTCATTTACCTGCGCGTCTTCCTCTCCCCTCCTCGCGTGCGCCGCGCGCTTCTCCGGCCAGGATTCGATGACCCAGCGTGTAATTCCGTTTGTATCTAGCTCGCTATTTCGGTTCGCGATATAAACGCTATTAAAAAAAAAAAAGGTACACGCTCGAAAAGGAAAATGAGTGCGAGTCGCAGCTTCACGCGAGCCTTGATCGATCGATCGATGCGTTTGCGTCACGGTGTATTTTAAAGCGTAAATGATTCCGCGCTAAAGTGCGAGGTTTAACTTTCTATTTAACATTACTCAGAAACAATGAGTTGTTCGTAAGTCAAGAATTTAATTTCGAGGAAGGAGATATAGAGATCGATCTTTAATCTTTATTATTAATTTAAATAGGAAAGTCGCGTCAGCAATCAAGTCAACAAAAGTTACTCGCATCGAGTCGGATAAAATTATAAAGTAAAATTTTGACGAGAGGGTTTTCTTTTTCTTTTTCGTTAGAGAATACTTA